GCGGGGCCGGTGTGGGGCAAATCCTGCGGGTTCGGTCTCAGAAATAGACCCCGAGGCCTATAGAGATCTCTGGGTCTATACACATCTATATAAATCTGGATCTGTAGGTTCATATAGATCTCTGGGTCTGTTTCTGGGACCAAACTCACAGGATGGGGGACATCGCCCTCCCCGTACCTCCTCCACCGGACGGGGCGGGGGAGAGTATCGTCCTAGGGGAGGTGCGGCTCCTCCTTGTGATGGATGATCTCTGTATTCATGGTTCAGACTGAGGTGACCCTCTCAGATCCCATTCCCGCCCTTCCCCCACCTCCCCCTCACACAACCTCGCCCTTCCAACCCCCCCCACGCCCTCCACTCCCAGCCTTCCACCTGCCCCCCCCCTTGGCACTCCATGGGCAGCAAGAGCTTTCTCTCCTGGCACCTTTTGTCTGGGAGGAATCTTCTGCATTCCATTTTGGGAGTCAGACTGGCAATTCCAGCGCAGAGCTCCTGCAAGCTTTCAGCCTCGGCACTTCAAGCCAAATGCCAGAATGTATAAAGGCTCTGGGAGGACCTGCACCTAGTTTGCCAGTCTGACATATTTGGGATGGGTGAAGGACCTGATGGAGAAAACGACTCTTAATGAGAATAATAACACCTTCTCTCTTTCTACAGCTACATCCACCAACACAGCAGGCAGCAGGTAAGAAGTCAAAATTCTTCTTTTCTGGGCAGCAATAGAAAAAGATAAAAATGCTACAAAGCTACATAAAAAAGTAACTCGTCAAGGAAAATTATAGGAATTAGAAGTAAGAAATACAAATACAATCAAGATGCTAAGAAGGAGAGAATGGAAAGACAAATAAAAGGAGGAAGAAGCAGTAGAAAGGAGAAGGACGACTAGGAATCACAAACAGCAAAAGACAAACTAGTAAGATGCCAAGAAAGAAAAAGATCACAAAGATGCTTGGAAAACTGCACCCTGATCAAATTCACAGACAACAGCGAGCTAACTGGCGTGGCTGACGTGGCTGAGGTACCGAATGCTGTCGCGAGGGACTGGGATGAGGTGGGGAAGAGAGGCTGTGAGAATCACATGCCTTAAACCCACTTGAGAGTAGAGACCCGAGGTGATTAGAAACCAGATATTACAAAGAAGAGCAGAAAAAGGAGACCAAGAAAGATGAAAAAGTAAACCCAAAGCAGGAACTAAAACATCCAAGTAAAATGGAAAATAAAAGCTAGTAGTCAGAAAATGAATGTGTTGCTGGACAACAAGGGCCCGCACTCCCTCCTGGTTTTGGAGTTCTGAGCTGTTCTTATTGGGTTAGGATTCTGTGGTTCCAGTTTAGTCTCTGTGGTCTTGGATGTATCAGCTGTCAGTTCAGGGTTTGGACAGTAAAATTCCAGCTGATTATCTACTGTCTTGGAGTTCCATCTCACTCCCTGCTTTGTACGTTCCTTTCAATAAAAGAAACCTCCACGCTCTGCTTCCAGTCCGAGCTGCACCTTCCCTGCATCCCCACACTCCCCAGCTCTTCAAGTGCACTGTTCCCCTCTCCTGCGCTGCCTCCTGGCACGGGATTCGTCCCTCGGCATGTTCCTTGATCCAGGTCCGTCCAGGGGCTTCCCCCACCCACTGTGAGATGTGCTCTCACCATCACTGCTTGAGAAACTCCCTGGGATCGACCACTCCCCTGCAAAAAACTCCCTACGGAAGGTGCCCCCAGGTAACCAGCCAGCAGCGCCCGCCCCTCATCATCCTCACCGGCCACACCTCGGGTTGCCCCGCACGGGAGGGGACGGCGGGCGGAGCCACGGGCGAGGAGGGCGGAGGCGAGCCAGAGGTTGCGGAGCCAGGCGCGGGGCGTGGGAATCCGTGGAGAAAGAGTCACTGACACGAGCCGGGCTGGGAGAAGCTCGATTTTTATTTCCGAGGAAGGCCCTAACGCGCGGCCGCCGCCCCGCCCCGCTGGGCCGGGAGCGCTCTGACCCACTCGTCCCTGGGGTCTGAGGGGGTGCCTGTTATCCAGCCCTGGTATTTAGGGCACCGCCTGTACCCGTCCCCGGGTTTTGGGGGTCCCCGTTACTCCTCACTGGGGTTTGGAGCGTCCCCTTCGTTTCGTGGCCCTTCGACCTTTCGCCGTCCTGCCATTCCCGGTCAGGGGTTCTATGGGGGGGGGGGGGGGGGGGGGGGGGGGGGG